GATGTATAGTAGATACGCATGAATACAAGAGAAGAGGAGTACGGGTGAGAAATGTATGGATATAGAGAGAGGTCGAATACGAGAGAGATACATATAGAAGATATATAGATATATAGCTAGAGTGAATACGAGAGAGCGAGATGGGAGATATATATGTATACATAGAGATGGTAAATGAGAAATAGATATGCAGACATATAAGTATATATATAGTATAGAGACAGTGATTGAATATAGGTATATATATATATATATATATATATATATATATATATATATATATATATATATATATGTTTCAATCTTCATATATAAGCCAGTCGAATTATATATCCTATTCTCTTATTCTCGCTTTCTCCCTCATCACTCACTATATATATATATATATATATATATATATATATATATATATATATATATATATATATATATATATATATATATATATATATATATATATATATATATATATATATATATATATATATATATATATATGATGTGATATATATATATATATATCAATATTACTCTATGGGCACCTGGAGGTGGTGTAATGGTTAGTAAGCTTGTCTGGCTAGAACAATTACAACTGAGTAGTGAGTTCGATCCTCACTGGGTGCCCCATACTTTCGGCCTTGTGCTACATCTAAGCTACGCTTGGAAAATCACTATCAATATTATACACCACTTTTTGTAAAAATCGGTCTCAGCTTGTCCCTGACTATCTTTCTATCAATTTGTATATTTCTTGACATACACACTGATATATATATATATATATATATATATATATATATATATATATATATATATATATATATATATAAATGTGTGTGTGTTTAAACAGTTAGTCAGTGAATGTACTTTCTTAACACCTTTCAAACCAGTTCTACCATAACGTTTCACTTCCCCTCCCCTCACGTTACCGATTTTTACCGCCCATTCTACCTATCTACAGCGCCCACCCTCCCTGATGCAGCAAACCAGTTATCCCGTATTTTACCGTAGCCCACCTTACAGAGTGTCGAAACTACTTACTCCACCCCCTAACAAATAACTCATACTAACGACGTTTCTTATCCAATGTACCACCCGAATTATGACGTTCTGAACGTACCCCACCAATTATTAGACCCACCCACACAATATCGAATTCTAGGGTCTTTATTCAAGCGATACTGGGCTCCATGCTTCTCATCCACCCACTTTGATTGTGAGGCATGTTCTGTCGGTGAAGAGTCGGGCTGAACAAGTAGCATCTGCATTTTAGCACACCCACTTTTTGTGTCATTGTGTCAAAGTTTTGATACCAAAGGGAAGAACAGACAGACATGGGAGAAGAGTTAGATAGATAGATAGATAGATAGATAGATATTTTTAAAAAAAGAAATAGATAGAGTGTGAGAGAGAAATATTATAAAAAGAGATAGATAGATACAGAAAGAGATTCTAAATCAGATAGACATATAGCTTGCCAGATACTTACCGCGCGTTTAAATCTGTCTCAAACTCTATCTATCTATCTATCTATCTATCTATCTATCTATCTATCTATCTATATATATATATATATATATATATATATATATATATATATATATATATATATATATATATATATATATATATATATATATACTTAAACAGGTACTTTTGATGGAGAGTTTAATAACGATTTCGATAGATACTAAATGAAACGGGCAGATTGAGAGATATATTTAAATTTAAAACTCAGTTTTTCTGATAGATTAAGCTAGCTAGCTAGCTAGCTAGATAGATAGATAGATATATAGATAGATAGATAGATAGATAAACAACTGAGATAGAGAGAGAGATAAGCCACTGAGATAGATAGATAGATAGATAGATAGATAGATAGATAGATAGATAGATAGATAGATAGATAGATAGATAGATTACAATTTCTGGCTCGGAACGTATGTTAGTTAGTCTTATCGCCAGAGAGTTCCCAAATCATAAGCTACCGATTTGCTGATGATTTTTCATCTCTCCGAATTTTAAGGTGTTAAAAAATACACCCGCGTTCTTTATATGCTAGTTGTTTAATCACGACTACATCTGCAATTTTTCATCTTATTCTATTATTAATCTAATGAAAACAACAAATAATATCACAGTGAAATTGTTCAAGCATATCTAAGCAATTCAATGTCGAAAATGCTTTTGGAAACTGCAAAGCGATGAGAGACATTCTTAAAACAAAGATATTTTCACAACTAGAATTAAAGACATAGACTACAATAGACATAGCTGCTGGAAATTTTAGAAAGGAAACAATACCTATAGCTACATGCTAATCAGAGAAATTAGACCATCAAGTAAAATAGATAAATATATCTTTATTGTAATAGGAAATGAAGTCACGCAAATTGGAAAACTATTAATTAAATTGAAAAAAAAGAATGGCCTAATAATAATTTTTTTTTTTGCTAGTTTTAACTGAAAAATTAGAATTGAACAAATTTTATATAATTGA